AATTGAATGGTAAAAACATAAATAAAAGAGGTAATACCAGTAACGCTAGTGGCAGCTTTTCATCGGATTCTGACAATATATCACATTTCCATCCACTTTTTGGTATCCCAAGTCGATAGAAGCGGACATACCCGGAACTTTTTGCTTTTCAAGCACAAACTACCAAACTGGTTTCGCCTACTAGGACAGAATTTGGCAACTAAAGGGTCCATATGCGTTTTCATGATGAAAAACCTCCTAAAAGGACACAATAAAGACCCAAAATTTGCCCAAGGAGCCCCTAATTTCAATGAGCCACTCGAAATCAAATGGGTGGAAGAAACGTGCTTGAAATGGCTCACAATTTGATAATGAAGGAGTAGATCCGATGGGCTGACCGCCTTTTTCAACGACTTCAGTTGAATAATATGAGTAATGTAGCCATCGTAGAGTTTCATCCATCCCTCTAAGGGAGGCTGGCTTATGGCTTCTGATTGAAGGACTTCTGTAGAACTAATTCTGTCCTTCACTGACTAGTTCACCTTCCGCTGACCTTAGCTGGCTTCCCAAGTCTTCGTCACGAGATCGGCACAGAATCCCTTAACTTTAATCAAAAAGCTATCACGCATGTCATGTGAGTAGTAGGGTGGTGCTAAAAGTTTTTGGGATAGTCTTAAAAAGTTATGTGGCTTCATCGATAGCATCTACTTCCGGAGAGGAAGGTTCGTTCTGAGGGCAAGGTACTTGGAGATGAATCCTCTATACGCAAAGGTCCTTGGACTAGCTGATTTCCACCTGGATGCGTCGACAGGCGAACACTGGATTAAGCCCATTAGAACAGAAATCGCCGAAAAGCCCTTAGAACAACCAATTGAGGGCTAAAAGGTCTGATGGCCAGAGAGAACGCGCTCAGCACTTTCAGCACGTGACCGGGAACAATGGGAATGGAACCCTCTCAAGTAACCACGTTTGAGTAACGAGAGCGTAGGTGACGCACTTGGTAAGATGGGAAGAAAACTAGAATTGTAAGTATCGAATCCTCGGATAGTACTTGTCTTGTGCTTACCGCTCCAGAGAACATTGTTTTTCTATCACAACCGGATATTACTTTTATTCGTTGGCTGTAACGCTGTACAGGATTGCACGGTCACTTGTAGAAAGGAGGGTAAACCCTTTTCTTGCTCAACCTCTTTCCCTCTTCGCACCTTTCTCGAAGACGATGAATGAATGTAGAGCTCAATGACGATCGATTTCGCCAGAGTGCGCCACACCGTCAACTACCATTTACAATTGTAGAACTTAGTCCACTATATGGCCTCTTGGGACCGGTCAGGCGAGGTGACCCAGGTTTTTCCGCCTTCCCATGGAGCCTGACACTAATTAGGTAAACCCATGGGGTGGGAGTGCCAGCCGTCCTTAGCTCTGACTATTCTTCCCCTTCCAAACCTACTGAAACCAATTTATTTCTTTGTACTTTGCCCATTTCCAATTGTTTTGACCTTTTACTTCGATTTGTTTATTTAGAGGTTTTGCGTAGTTGGGATGATGACGACACGGGCTTTATGACGGCCATTTCAGCTTGGAAATGTTCCACGGGTGTGGGTTGTTGATTAATCCGCCGAGCCCCAAGCGCAGTATCAACTAACGACGTCATGGACCAGCTGTAGAGAGAAATTCAAATGGACCACCTAAAAATTAGAAAGACACGAAAAGTGGCTGCCATGACAAGATCGTGGTATGAAATTGGATTTCACAGGGATACTGTAATAGTGGCTACCGTATAGGTCATCCTCAGCCTATCGGACGACTTGAAAAACGCCTTGGTAGCTTTGAAAAAGAAATAGCAATTGGAAAAAGTATCCAAGAGGAAGTGGATGTTATATTGACAGTGCTGTTATGAAACAGAAGGCTCTACAATATCAGGAAGGCCACTTCGACAAACTTCTCAAGAGCTGAAAGCTGTGGGCAAGGGCTGCGACGATGAGGATTTGTACTGTATTTCCGTTTCTGTTCAGATTGGGAAAAGGGTAGGAACTCTGGCTATAATTTATGTGGCTTAAATCTATATAGTAACTCAGAAAAAATAAAATATAACAACCTAAAGAAAATAAAGCAAATACCTTCTACTCCGTGAAGAGCGGATGTTTCAAAAGATAACTAAAGCTGAAGATCGCATTGTGTTTCTCAAAAAATGTGACGAGTTGTCTAATTGTTTATCCCTTGTTTATTAACCTACAAATTTATTTACTTGACTACTGATTATTTGCCGACATTTAAAGTGTTTTATGCGAGGTCGCAGTTTTTCATTGGAGCGCGACAGCCGTTTCCTCGATTCAGCAAGAATCGCTTTTTCTTTGACGGATCCTTTTGACGTCTTTTTTAATTGCATTGCGTTTTATTCGATATCTTCAATACTTTTCTTTGGATAAGTGATAATTCAGTCAAAAAGAGCAATCTGGTAACCTTCCCCAATGTAGTGGTGTCATATTCTTGAATTATTTCTTAACATGTGATTCATATTTCCAAACGCCTACTTATTTCTGAGATTACTTATTTTGTCTCAAAAGTCGGATGAATTTCCAGTTAAACATGAATGGTTACGACTTTGCAAAAACATTTGTAGTCTTTGTCCTTATTTATGAATGTTTATTTATCTTTAAAATGCTGGGGAATATTGTAATTCAACGTTTAATATGATAACAAACTATTCGGTTATTCGTGTCCATTGAAAACTTGCTCTTGATTGACAGTAGTTTCTATAAAATGTCTATAAATATGATCAATTTTTCTAATGTGTAGCCATTGAGTGCTTTGGTAGGCCCGAAAAATTTATGAACACTTTCAAAGTTGATTCCTGGAGTATAAATGTTGACCTATTTTTGTCTATAACACCACATTCTCATCAATTTCCATATTGTTAGCTTTTCTCATATCATTAGGAATCGTGGCGTTGAAATGAACAAAATAGTCATGCTTGAAAATCTCGATTGCAGGTAGTAATGACTCCACGAAGGGAACCTCAACATAACAACAATGATGATGATAGCAATGATGATTGTAAGCTTTTCGTTTGGTTTTTACCTGGCTAAAACGTTACTCGTCCGCCAGTTGCATTTTTATTCCTTGTCTCTCACTCTATCGTCATTTTCGGCCCCAAAGTGATTAATTTTCGACAAAGTGACTTTGAATAGGTTGAAGGCAAACTTGCGTACTATTTTAATCTCCTAAAATTCAAGGATTGCATAATCTTTTTGCAGTCCGCGCATATGAAGTCGACGGTTGGAGGGTCGGTTACGAGATCGAGATGAATGGGGTTGGGATCGTGAATGATCGAGACAGTGACGACGGTTCGGGTCAGTCGAGTTCTATACTGACTTCATTACCTTTCCATGTTGTCTTGCTTATGTATTTTATTGCTTCTGTAAAGGTTTTCCTGACACCGATCCTGAGACTGACGGTGAGTTGGATCTGATCGATGAAGAGATTCCGCGATATCCCGGCTATCAAGCGCTATCATTTCAAACGGAAGAACGTTCCTCGGAAAACAATACTAGCTGCGATGAAGGGATAGACTATGTAAGTAATCCTGTGCAATTGAGCTTCATTCATGCGGCCCATCCTCAACAATGAAATTCGAATTTAACGTCAATCGTGTATTTTTAACCTGTCAGTGGTTTCTATAACTTTTTCTATGCTATAATTCATCCACAGATATTCCCTTACAAATTTTTAGCTTCGAAATTCGACCTTTTGGCACTATACCTTTGTATTTATATTTGTTCTATAACTTAATAGCACTGAATCAGCAGAGAAAACATGTTTATTTCCATCGTGGAGACCTGGAGGGTTCCTCCGTTCAAGTTGCTCATATGTGCTTTTAGAGCGAATCGACTAGCTCTGATGATAACAAAGTGAATGGTGAAGTTACTCCAACAACTGGCACTGCTGTGAGTTACCCCATAAGGAAAGAATTCGAAAAGGTAATGCTTGGTCTTGTTTATTCTGGATGTTGTTAGTAAACCGGCATTTGTTTCAGCTTATTCAGGAAAGCTCCACTTCGACCAGTGTCTTGAAGGATGAACCAATACCGCATCAGCCTAATAACATCATCCTTGATGAAGGTATTTCTCACTAGATATTCTTCAACTTTTTTTGAATCTTTGTAGCATTTTCATTCGTTCAGAAAAGATTCAAGTTATTCGCAAAGCAATGTTGAGCTTTACACTGCCACCTCCCCCTCAATGGGCTAACTTGGACAATGTCAAATTAAATGAGATTATAAGAGAGAAGATCAGTCCTCAGAAACACGAAAACTAGTGGAAGTTCGTTTTTTCTAAGTTACTTACTTTGCCTTGATAGAGAGTCTAGTGATACTAATCTTCAATTCATCTCATCTAGGCACATTACTTATTAGTAGCTGGAGCTTTCTCTCATAATTCATCTGTTTTGCCACCCATATCATGGAATCGTATTCGAAAAGAACCGGAGTGTTGCTTATCTGTGATGAAGCTTTGTTGTTTTCCATCCTCCGATAATGTTGTTGTATAAAATGCACCTGTTTCCGAGATTTCTTCGATACTTTTTTCATTCTAGCATAGTATTTGTAGTGTGTCCAACGAAAAGCGGATTTTTCTGGTTTTTCTTTCTGCTGCCTTCAGCTTTCGATTTTTCATTTTTTTAAAGCTTCTTCTTCTTAAAGCAATTTTAGATTCTTTTTTCGAAGCACTTAAGAGTCGAGGGGGCCTTTGTGGCTCAGATTGCCACCTTTGCTCTAACTAAAAGAACTTCCTTGCTAATATTGTTAACTGTTCGTGCGTTTTGGTGCATTCAAGCTTGACCTTCGATGTGATTGTATACATGCGTAAACCTTGGTATATAAATATTCTACGTCAACTCCGTAACGATCGAGTTGTATGAAAGCGTTTATGGCACGCTTAAATTCCTTCTGCGGGTGTTCTTATATTATTGGTGGTGTCTACAAGAGTTTTTGCTTTGTTCCAATGTTCTGATTTGACTTTTAGACCATGTCCCGGAAGCGTGAACATGCTGTCGATTGTGAGATGGGTAAACGTGGTGTGTGGTTGGTCAAGGCGAGTGCTTTTCTAGAGATCACTTACGTTTTAGTCTCTGCATGAGTGACTTACATGATTCTTGCTATTTTCACCACTCCTTTCTCCATGTTTCTATGTCTAGGTTCCACGATATCTTTCCGATTTGTGGGAGGCAAACGCAGGGACTGATGTCGGTCGGCTTGTTATACCTATTCCAAAAGGAGATGTAAGTTATAAGGACATAGATAGATAAAAGTCTGACCTCCCAACGTCTTCTTCATTTTGTTTGCGTTAAAAATATTTTGTTTTTTCAATATTGTTTTTATTGTAATGATCGGTGTTTGCCTGCCGCTCCAGTTGAAAAACCAATGCCGAGCGGAAAAAGGCTGGGTTAATGGAAACGCCTGCCTGATCTATGGAATTTCAGGGTAATTACATATCTTTATGGTTTTTTCAGGTAAAATTGAAATCACGTCCAGGTCTTGTTCTGCCTCAGTCTGTATCCTCGACTCTGAAAGGTAGATTTGCAATAAATCTAGTTATATTCAGCCACATGTAAAGTGGTTCCATGTTAATAGCGATAGATTCCTATTGTAGCAAACTTTAGGTCCTGCAAAAATTCCCGATGAGCATTTCTTCATTCTGGGTGACGTTCTCAACCAAACTATGGCTGTACTTGCAGAAGATAAGACAGGTCTTAACGAAGAGGCAGACATCAAGTACGTTATCAGCGAAGCGCGTTGGTGTGCCGCCATAGCTCAGTCGGTTAGAGCGTGGGTCTAATAAGCCCAAGGTCGCAGGTTCGACCCCTGCTGGCGGCAAAGTTTTGCTTTCTGTTGAAGTTGTCCTCGACTGACGTAGTTCTTGCTGGAAATTGAAGCAGACGTTTTTCAGATCGGGTAGGCTTTCATTAGAAGGAAGGGTCGTTAAGCGGGCAGAGTGTCGCCCACCTGCGTCGACTAGCTATCTGAAAATGAAAATCGCTCAGATCTCCAATAGTGGCCAACCGAAGAAGCAAGTACTACAGATGGAGAAGGTATTGACGCGCTGGTCTTTATTTTATCTAAATTTGCCTCGAATAAATCAATTTCCCTCCTATTCTTTGACATGCCATACCAGGCCGCTGTGAAATTCAAACCAGTCGCCGCTCACGCAGAAGACATGATGCGAATAAAACAGAAGAAAGAAGGAGCAAAGACAGTACGAGCAGATCGTAACGTACTCATGCAAGCCTTATTCCATGCCTTTGAGAAACATCAGTACTACAGGTGAGCTTATCTACTTATATTTATGTACATGTTGTGCTCTCTCTTTCCATATCCGCTTTCCATTTTCATTGGCTTTCACCCAGTTAAATAGATGAGCATAAAATCAGATTTGCTTATAGATTACAAGACCTGCAGCAGTTGACACAACAACCTGCAGGGTATGTGAAGGAGCTCTTGACGGAGATCGCGGTGTACAACACTGCCCCGCCTCACAAAAGCATGTGGGAGTTGAAGCCGGAGTACCGTGACTATGCTGTACAAAAGTGATTCTGCTTCAGTGGATCTCTATATTTCCAAGACTTTGATTAATCTTAGTTGGTGGTCAGGGCTTGAGTAACTATCTCAAAGATGGGAGGGTGGCAGCTTACAGTGGATGTATGAAAGAGCAATAATGATTCTTCCATTTTCAATGATTGTACTCATCTTTGTTTAATTGTTATTTTTTGATAGTAGCATTTTTAATGATGTTTTCGTACTTCTGTATAAATTACTTATTCCCGTGCAAGTTATGTTTCAGAGACGATAAATAAAGATGAAGCCGCGAATTTACTTCTTTGCCAAGAGTTCATACGTCGGAGATTATCTCTCACATTATAAAAAGCTGCACATTGATTCCAATGTGATTACTGTAGTATACACACATGCGATGATAAATGTATGTAATGCATTAAAGATGGTAGATTTCGTAGTCGGAAAGAAATGTGCACTCGGACGTGGAGGCATGATCGAATCTTGGGGTAAGTCATTTCATTTCATTTCAGGATGATTACTGATGTGAAGCTGTTACAGTATTCTCAAGCCTCCAGGTGCCGTCATAGTGACCAGGCCTGGGGCGCTGTTTTAAGAAGGCGTGGGCAATGTTCTTTCACGAATAGATGTTGCGTTGTAATACCTTCAGAACGCTCTGTGACTTTTGGATAGATACTTGGGCGCGCTACATGATGTATGGGTGTATTCTTTTAAAAAGCCAAATCAGAGCTCAGCTAATATTACTATGTACTGGTTGACATTTTGCAGTCCTTCAGTTATACTCAATATCTGAGACTTGGGTTACAGAGCTCTTAAGTGTGCGTATGAGTTTTATTGAGTCTCTTACGTCTGATCAGGATTAGCCTTTAGTAAGACCGGAGGGTTGCTCGTACTCCGTTAGCGAACTCTTCAGGGTCATTTCAGATGTCCCCTACAAATTTCGTCATACTTGGCAATTCAGGCCGTCATATCTTGAAGCATTCAACACCTTCCTGTATGATATACCTTCGAGCTGGACATGTACCACATCTTACGTGGGAAGTTGTTACGAATTGGTTGAAATTCAATCAAAACCCGATTTATCAGCTCACATTACCATCATTGTAAGCCCTTTGCTGATGTTCCTCGGTTCACGTTTGGATATGACGTATTCAGACTTTTTCAACCCAATTTCAGACTCGAATCCTTGAAAGTGGTTCAGAAATTCGGTAAAGGAGCACCAGCGCTCTGTGGAATGCCGGTACGCCAGCATCTTTGATTTTCGCTTATAATGATTTGCCCTATTTCGTAAATCTTTCAAGAAAAACTCCGCCGTTCACCTCCAAATCAGTGACCCTTTGGGAGAAACGAGGTCCGGATTTAACGATACGAAATCAATAGCCATTTTTACGAAGGGAGGAAAGAAAATGGTAAGTAATCTTCCTAATTGCCTCAAAAATTTGTTTACCTTTATAGAACGCTCACAAACTTGATGGCTATTAATTATTTTGACAGTATTTGATATTTCAGTTGGATCCACGACTATACCGTGAAATTGTGCGAAATTTCATGTGCGATTCGTTCGACACCATGCTCGATTATGACGCACCACGTGGTTCACTCAACAAACGCCTGTCGAAAGGAATAGATCGAACGAAGATGTTTTATGAACAAGTTGTTGATCACGACGAAGGTCCCGAGGTATTGTAGCTACTATACGATGATTCAAGTCAGATGATTATGAGTTAAAGAGTGTTTATCTTGTGCAATTTGAGCAACCCTTGAGGAAAAGTTCGCCGGCGTTTTTTTTCTCTGAAATGAAGAGTATACAAGTCTTAGCTTTTCAAGGGAGCGGTGGTTATCTCGCTGGGTGGTGGATTCAGTGACTACTACCGAAGAAAATATGCCGTAGATGTTGGTCTCAACAAAAAATGTGATGGCTTTTCGGTAGGTTTCTCACAGTTCTTAACAGAAACATTCAATTATCATCTAAACGAACAACTATCGCATTAAATATTTCATTTTGAGGTCGATTTGCGAGAGTTCACCGACGGTAATGAAGTGAACAAGGATGAATTGAAAACTTTAGTTGAAGAGACGTTCGTGAGTACAGCGCTTCTTCTTTCCTACGTCAAAAAACCACGTTCTCCAAGCTCACAGTACTCGAGATTTGTATGTTTTCTAGGGCCCTCTCCCGCCTGCACGGTTTCGGTTCGTGGCTGGACCTTTTGACCCAGCAATGGTGTTATACCTTGTTCGACTCGGCTTTGATTTGTTCGATTCTTCGTATGCTATTAAGATTTCCGAAGAGGTAAGCGTCAATTCTACATACATACATATAAAAAGACTTGCCATGATTTGGTGAGGTTCACGATAAGCCGGTGAGAACCAAACTAAAAACTCTTTGCTAGGGTTCAGATTGTCCTCTGAAACTACCATTAAATGCGCATATACTTCGAGTTGACTTTTCTTTGTTACTATTCACGACCATTATTTGTGTTACGTATTATTCAGGCAAAATGTCTTCGCTTAGCCGATGATTATCCGTATTCATCTCACTTTGAACTGTTGGACTTCAACGACGATAAGTACGGTAGTTTTGGAACATCATAATTGTTTCCCCTTTTTTCTTATTCTTGATTCAGATATGCTGATGATTATGGTAAGCCTTTCGATTCATGCGAATGCTATACATGCAAGAACTACACTAGAATGTATCTTCGACACTTGACTAATACAAAGGAGTTGCTGGGCCCCATCCTGCTCGTTATGTATGTTGAGCAATAGTTATTATCCGGTATCGGAGTCCTAGATATTTTAAAACCACGATATTCCAGACACAACTTAACCGAATATCAACGTATGTTCCTACTGATACGAAACGCCATAGGTGAAGCTGATCCATTATGATTTCCTTGCTGTATGCAGAACTGATATCAATAGAACCTCATGATTATTATATCTCCTAACTGATGATGCAAATATACTAATAGATATATACAGCTTTTCATAGGTTGCCTAAATCGATAATTATTGAATATTCATTTTATTTTCAGATGGTCTCACTTAGTTGGACCATGCGACTCTGTTAAGTTATTATGCTGGTCCATGTTGTTGCATATGTTGTTGATTGTTAATGATTGAGGTTGTTGCCAAGTAATGAATCATTCCTTGTGACTATTCTCATGCTCTCAACTGAGTTATGACTTGAAAATACTGAAGAAACCTTGCGTGATTGCGTGATTACCTTCATTTGTTTCGAATTGTCTTTATGTAGGAGATTTTCCCAGGGATGGTGATATCTGATGATCGCGTTCGGATGGATCGTCGGTATGACTGGGTAGGACCGCCACATCCAGTATCAAAAATCAGGCCAATTAAGTATGTAGTTTTCGCAAGAGAACATAGGTTTTGTAGTTTTTTTTGGATTTATGATTGAGCCGAATTCGATTAGTATCTAAGGAAAGCTTCTCTTCAAGCGCTACAAAGACTATTCCCTTCATTACGTGGTACCTTTGAGTTTGTAAATTTTAGGCTTCGAAGAGTAGACAATGAATCAGATTTAGAGCGGCAGTATCGTCAGGCACGGGAAGAACTAAACAGGTATGGTCGCTAGTTTGTGGGAACCAGTTCCTTATGAGCTCAGCGTCTTCCTTCAAGTCAAGATGATTCAGGTGGAGCTCATCATTTTGGGAGAAGCACAACACTTTATTTGACATCAAAAAAGCTGAGTTTATTGAAAAGGTGGGTTCACTTTTGGAATCATGATGCTTTGCCTGAATGATTTGCAGAAAAACTTTTTTCAGCGAAAAAAGGAAATTGGACGTATAGAACAGGTGTCGGCAAATGATTTATCCACATTCTACAAGGACTTTCTTGATTCCGAACATGCTAACTTGATAGCATATAACAAGTAAGTTCTAGGCACTAATCGATGTGTCTTGTGTAACCTACGATCAAACGTTAATAGTAACCTGTTTCCGGAAAGTTACCGTATGTGACTGGCCAGCTTGCTTGGAAAACACTTGACGATACTAAAAAGGGTATTTCCAGAGAATGGTATCATCGAAATCTCGCACTGTGTTGGCCTGCCCTCAAAGTGAATATGATTCGATTCATGCGATTATTGAAGAGATCATGAAATCCACTTCAACCTTTTTGTAGGAAATCACACCTTGTCTATTAGTTGTAAATAGTCACGCAAACTTAACATCCTTTATTTGCTGAAATTCATAAAACAATTTTTATTTTAATGATTTTCTCTCTACCAAAATACAATAAACTCGACTCCTCTACATGAAACAACAATTCTACAAGTCTAGAAACACGTCTACATTGGGATCAAGTTGGGCATACGATGAGTACTTAACAATAGGCCACTTATTTACTTATTTTATGCATGATTACATTTTGCACTTATTCTCAAGGACAATCGTGCAACCTTAGTTTCAGGATCTTCATCATTGATATCACGTAATTCACATTTCTCTCGAAATAGCGATAAATAAATGAAAAGAAAAAAATGAAGAATACTTCCAACGATAGATGCCATTTGAGGTCTACTTTCCTGTCTCAAAAAAGAATATCTATCTCAGATACCAATGACAACAAGTTTTGATGGAATGAGCATAGCGGCTGCAACATTTAGTAAACAAGAGATGCACAAGTCGCCTTCCAGAAAAATGGATGGACCGGCCCGCTGATAGTGCGAACATAGGTGCCAGTGAAAGTCGACATGACTGTGACTTTATGCAGATGGCAAGAGCGAAGACCAGGTTGATCCGATGCACCACCTTTTACGGTGACTGTGCAAAATTGGGAATGCCACTTGCGCAAGTGATATGAATATTGGTTGCTAGCTAGCTCTACCATGCCGAGATGATGTCATTGTGATCTTTCATGTGAATTTGGGCTTTCTAGTAGACCTGCCATACAATTTCGCTGAATCCAGAGGAATAGAAGAAAATAGTGCAAATACATAAGTTCAAGTGAGTCTCAATAATACTACAAACATTAACATTTCAAAATCCACAAAACATCAAAACTCAAATTACTATGTACAAAGTTCATTACTTGACGTCAAACGTTTCCAAACGCTTCTTTAGGTATCTTGTCCTTCATACTCAAAAAAGCTTGTCCAGCAGCCTGAAGTGGATCCAATAAACCCATAGCCAATGACTCATTCGTATAATTTCAGTGTTAACGCATTTGTGAGCACATTTTTCGACTCGAAAACCAGGTCAACCAACCAAGATTTTCACTATCTATTAGATTAACTGGTATCAGGTTTGGTTGGGTGGATGAAAGCACTGGTTTGATATCGGGTCGTCCCGCAAATAAGTGTACAGGTCT